CTTCGTAAGGTGGGCATCCGGTTATCAGGTCCACTGGCAACCGAAGTTCCCGACCAAACATCAACTTTGCTGGAGTGTATCTAGTGGCTTCATGCTCTGCTGTTCTATAGGCCATCAACAGTGGAGGGAGCAAGACATCCCAGTCATCTTAGCGGCTATTACAAAACTTTGCCAATTCCTGTCCCAGTGTCGAATTGTACTTTTCTACCATCCCATCAGACTGTGGGTGAAGTGGCGTTGTCTTGGTCTTTCGCATGCCAACAGCTTGCAGCATTCATGGAACACAGCTGATTCAAAGTTACGGCCTTGATCTGAATGCAGTTCGTATGGCATACCAAACCTGAAGAAGAAATCGCCAACAGCCGAAGCTACAGTTGTAGCTTCCTGATTTGCTATTGCATATGCCTCAGGCCACTTGGTGAAATAATCCATCACCACACAAATGCACCTGTTTCCAGCACGAGTTTGGGGCAAAGGACCAGCAATGTCAACAGCTACTCTTTCCATTGGTGTGCCAACTTGATATAACTTCATTGGAACACATCCCTTATGCTTGGGTCCCCTTTTAGCACAACATGTACTGCAGGTCCTTCACCATTCTTCCACATCTTTCGTTTTACGTATCTAGTAAAATCTCTGCCGTAGGTGACTCAATGTCTTCTTAACTCTGAGATGTCCTCCTGTTAAACTATCATGGGATTGACGCAGCAAACTTCCAGTATTTTTCTCGGTATAACTGTTTGCCAGGTCGTCACTTTCCTATCTGCAGTTTCCCATTTCCAAAGAAGAATGCCATCTTCAAGCTTCAACTGGTCCCATTGTGCCCAATAGTTCTTTGTCACAGGTCTTAAGCTATACACCCTCTTCCAAGCAGGGCACAAAACACTTGCTTGTAGAAAATCAATTATTGGTTTTAAATCTTGGTCTTTCTCCTGCCCTGCTTTAATATCTATACTTGGCTCCACTTCACCATCATCAACTCGTTCAGTCACTTTGACTTCAGACTGATGGCACCTGGTTAGTCCAACTTCTCTTTTAACACTTACCGGAATTTGGCCTTTGTTGTTCCCAAACGTTATTTTATCAAAATTAGCTACACACTTCCTCAGTAGTATGTTGTCTAACTCTAGTACGCATTAGTCTTCAATGTCAGCCAAGTGTGCTTTGTGTCTGTCCTTCATGCTCATGAGCTCGATAGTTACCCACACTGGTCCCCACAACCTTGCATAATGTCCTGTCACCCATAAAGCTTCTGTACAGCTTCTGATACTCCTTTGTGATCTAACACCTTGATGCTCACAAGGTTTGCTGAGATGCTGAATCTATGACAAAGTTGCACTTTTGGTTATCTAGCTTTCCTGTCACGTAGAGACTGTGTGTGCTTGCCATTTTACACTTAGCTGTTGGGACTTTCACGATGGGGGTTGCTGGGCGTCCCTCAACACCAATCACTACTGGTTTCCCCGAGGCTGACTTATTAGTAGTATACTTCTTACACTGGCTCCTCTTATGTCTTAGCTCTCCACAGTTCCAACAACCTTTCTGGGTAACAGCCTTTTCTGCCGTGGCATCTTCTCTGTGTTGAAGTTGCCGGCACTGAGCTCTCTTGTGCCCAAATTTGTTACAGTGCCAACAAAGTCCCTCAAACTTTTTTCAAAGCTGACCTTTTCTGTCCTTGAATCCAGATGACTGTGGCAACCTCGGTACCTCTGTGCTGGACTTAAAGTAGGATTCAAATTCAAGAGCTCTGGCCATTGCATTCTGCATGGTAGAGGGGTGTGCTTGCTATACTTGTACCTTTAGTTGTGGACTGTTCAAGGCGTCCACAAACTGATCCCTCAGCAACAGCTTGAGGAGATCGGGTTGTGCAGTTGGGTAGGCGTTGTGTGCCATACTTTCCAGGTCCTGTGCTAGCTCTTGCAGGCTCTCCCCTTTACCACGGACTCTCGTCCTAAACCTAGTCCTGTAGACTTAGGACTGATTTTGAGTTCCATACCTGGGTTCTAGAGCAGCTACCAGTGCTCTACAGTTGTGTCTGTCGTCTGCTGTCAACTGTCCAAGTATTTCCAGTGGTTGTCCCTTCAAGCTCGTTGCCAGGTACATTACTTTCTGTTCCTCTGTCCATCCATTCATTTCTGCCAGGAGCTCAAACTGTGCTCTATATGCTTTCCATGGTGCCTTCCCATCGAATTCCTTGGCTTCCTTCATACTAGATCACCCCTATTGCTGACACTCATGTCTGGAATGTGACTTCTGGCAGGACTGAAGATGTCTGCATTAGGGTTTAGCTGCGGGGTCTGGAAGGAGCTTCCTGTTGTCTGGGGCTGATTAGGTCCATGGTTAAGATATCCTTCTTGTGTAAAAGACAGTAAATCCTCCTTTAATGTATTTAATTCACTTTGAAATTTACTCATATTTTCCATTTGTGTGTGCTGGCTTTCTCTCAATTGTTGGAGTCTTTCTTTTTGTTTCTTTTCTTGTTCTTCTTGTTTCATTTCTTGTTCCAGTTGCCACTGGTGTTGGCTTTCTCTCAACTGTTGGAGACTTTCTTCATGTTTCTTTTCTTTCTCCTCCAACCACTGCTGTAGTCTCTCTTCTTGTTTCTTTTCTTTCTCCTCCAACCACTGCTGTAGTCTCTCTTCTTGTTTCTTTTCTTTCTCCTCCAACCACTGCTGTAGTCTCTCTTCTTGTTTATTTTGCTGTTCCAGCTGCCACTGTTGCAGGTTTTCTTGCAACTGCTGTTGTCTCTTTTCTTGTTTATTTTCTCGTTCTTCTTGTTTCTTTTGCTGTTCTTGTATTGCTGCCATCAAATCTGCTAAGCTGAAGTTTGATTTGCCACTTCTCGTTTCCATTTTTTTTTCGTCCCACTCTCTGACACACATTTAAACACACGCTATAATTCTCAACGAACTATTCACGCACTTTACTTACTACCGCGCTTGACTCAATTGTCCGTCTATATCTTCAATCTCTCTGTCTGCTATTATTCATACCGTCATTTCTTTTGCCGGCTTATATATACACACACAAATAGAGGGCCCATAGAGAAGACTAGAGTTGCCACGAACGGACAAGATCCTTCTAGAATCTCATGACGTGTTACTAGCGTCACGTAACTTCCGCAGTCGTAACAATAACATACTCATGGTAACATCGTGGTGATCGGACATCAATATTTTTCATGTTAGAGGAACAAAACTTATTAGTATTTAATTATAACATGTAATAAATAAAAGCATAAAATATAAAAACAAAGTAGTTATTAACTAATAATTAGGCCTATGGTGAATAAACTGTGGGTGGCCCAACTATAACTATTGGAGCATGTAATCTCGAACTGTTATCAAAGTCCACCGTGTGTGAATCAGTCTCAATGTTAGCGGTTAATAAAGTCCACCTGGATTAGTACTGACAACTATTATCAAAGTCCCCCGTGTGTGAATTAGTCTCAAAGTTAGCGGTTAATAAAGTTCACCGTGTGTGAATCAGTCTCAAAGTTAGCAGTTAATAAAGTCCACCTGGTTATTAGTACTGACAACTATTATCAAAGTCCCCCGTGTGTGAATCAGTCTCAAAGTTAGCGGTTAATAAAGTCCCCCGTGTGTGGATCAGTCTCAAAGTTAGCGGTTCTTTCTTCATATTTATAAAATGTACACATGAACTTGTTTTAATTCTAGTGACTAAAAATACGGAATGATTTAATTTGTCCAACGATACCCTATACATCAAGTAAACATACCAAGTAATTTTATTTTATTACACAAACTTTTAAAAGATATGACCTATATAATAACACCATAAAATAGAATAAGACTATATTGTTACGTCTCCGTTCGTTAGTTAATTTTCCGTAAAAATTATTTCCGAAGAAACTCTAACGATACAAGTCCTTTCTTAAATAAAACTGGTTTATTCTTTCTGAATACAACTTTGCAATACACTTAATTTCAGCAGTCGCCGTATAACCAACGCTATAACTCAAAACGAACGTCTCACGTGCCCAACAATATTCTCTGTCCGCATACATTCAATTACTCATTACATTATTGCCGTCACGTTGTGACCGTCTTATATATAAAAGAATACCGAGATCTAGTAAACTCTCGATATTTCAGGAAGGGACGTGAACGTTCGAGAAAGCTTGTGGCGTGATACTAGCGTTACGTGACCTCCGATGTCGTAACAATATCAATAAATCCATTTTTGCGTACAAAGCGCCACAGGTCATGAAGATTTTATTTACGAAACAGTATTGGTTAGGCATATTGTGAAGACTCTCATATTATAGGAATCTTGAGAGTTAAAAATGAAAATCATCTCTCATTATTCATAAAGGATTATGAGAGTGGGGGTTAAGCCTCATTTTTCCCTAAACCTATCTCGCTGATTTTGTAGGTAGTTCATTAAAGCTGTTTTTTAATAAAACACAATATACAGGATAAATTAGATTAGCAATGTATATATATATATTATAGCTCAACTATGATAGAGGCTTTAGAGGTAATAACTGCTACAAAAATGAGATTATACTGAATTGCGTTGGCTCTACTCCCCACAAAATGAGCACCCCCCATCACCCAAATGAATTCTAGAAATGCTCCTGTTCTCGCCTATATTTATTTTCACTGTCATTGTCGGTGTTTATTAATAACTAATTTATCTTGCAATGACAATACTTTAAAACAATTGTTTTATTTTGATATATTTTGTGTATTAATTGATTATCCAAAATTGTTATTTGTCAAAGTGCTGCTCTCTAGTGGCGCAGCAGCAAGTCTGTGTGCTTATTACTCTATTTTAGTGTATTTTAGGGAAAATATGTGTACTAATAACTTAGAAGAAAAATTCTAAATATGAATGATTTCGAAATAAAAACAGTACAATTTTTGATGTAAGGTGCTAAACAAAAAATATTCTCCCTCTAGTGACAATGTTCCCTGTTTATACTGATAAATGGAGGAAATGAACAGGAAAAGAACATACGCGTGCTCTAAGTTCCTGGAATTCGATGTTATTAGGGAAGAGAAAAGTTCTAGAATTATTCTCTGTAGTGTAAGTAATGGCGTAGTGTGGAAAGCTCGTGATCAAATCTGTTGTGTTTACGAAATAGTAACTCACCTTGATATTTATCTGTTTAATAACAATAAAACAAAAGTGCGGGAAACTAATATTTAATCAAGCAGGGAAACTTTGTTTATAGTAGTTATAAAAACAATAATTCAGATCCAGATATGGACGATGTTTTCCAGTGGTGTAAGGAGGGAAATGGCTTTCAGGTCCGTGTTTGGTTGGACGACCCCGAACACGACATGAACCAAGGGTAAGCGTGATTTGGTATCTCAAATTTTTATATTTTTTTCAAAGTTTTAAAATTTCATGAATTATAAGTGACGTGGCAAAGCTTATTTTTTTCTATCGTTGTAATATTTTAGTAGCCTTTTATTTAGAACACCCCCATTTCGAAACGTGGCTTTTGTTGCGCCTCCCCCCACACCCGTATAACCTAATCATGTAAATACTGAACGTGACAATTTCTCATGTTAATATATTATTTATTAGTAGTGATATTTGTACAGTAGTTTTACAAATGTATATATTTTTTAACTTGTACTTTCTGATTACATGCTCCAATAGTTATAGTTGGGCCACCCACAGTTTATTCACCATAGGCCTAATTATTAGTTAATAACTACTTTGTTTTTATATTTTATGCTTTTATTTATTATTTGTTATAATTAAATACTAAGAAGGTTATGTTCTTCTAACATGAAAACTATTGATGTCCGATGTTACCTTGAGTATGTTATGTTTCGATTTTCAAACGAGTTACGTTTAAATTTGTAGTACTAGTCGATCTGGTGGACTATAAATTTAGAGTTTGAGGAATAACAATTGCCGAGTAACCCTTAAAGAAGTTGTTTTCGAATGTCCCAGGAACTTCGACGTCGGCAATATTTACGAATAGGGGTTTGAGTGTATTGAGGTTTATTTGCATAGATAAGTAAATAGCGCTTAAATGAAGTTACCTAAATAAATAGGGACTGTTTAAAATAACTAGCTAGAGCAGAGGTGGGTGTAGGAGGTCATAACTTGGAAGTTGTAATATGTGAAACTAGTATATTAAATAGTTCAGAAATAGACAACAATAATTATTTTTTTTATTTTCAATCAAAATAAGAACTCTTTGCGTTAGGCTTAACGAACTGAAGGCTTTGGTTACTACCAGCACGTTGGGAGTAGGTAGTGTTATAAAGTATCGGGTGAAAATGATAGTTCGTCCTCGTGGGTGGGGGGTCGTTTGTTAGAAATGGTGTGAACGAAATCATATCAGAGAAGTTAAGAAAAAATCTGAACGTAGCATATGGTTGGCTGTGATTTTTACCTTAAATTTTAAGAACTGTATTCGCGTCCTGTTGCTGCAAACAAGCGCTTCGCTCTTTAGGCCATGTATGCGTTAACTCAAACCCAACTTTTCGATTAAAGTAGCCCAAAAGTTGGCGGATGGGTGCTTTATAATAGCCGTCAACAACTTAGTTTATTAGCTCAATATTATGGAGGGCTATTCGCAGGTAGCTCTTGTTTCGCAAAAATTCCCAAACAAACAACATGTACCGATACTTTTAATATACTGTTACGTCTCTGTTTGTTAATTAACTTCCCGTAACTTCGTTCCGACGAAACTTTAGCGACAGAAGTATTTACTTAATAAAACTGGTTTATTCTTTCCGAATACAACTTTACCGATACACTTAACTTCAACAATCGCGCTAAACAAACGCTATAACAACGAACGTGCTCAATAATACTTCTGACTGCAGATCAATTACTCACTACCTACACACACATTACATTACCTTCTTTTATATACCAGCGTACCCTATTTCTAGTAAGAACTTGAACATTCGTCAAAGTACATGATAGTTCTAGAAACGTTGCGTCACAGTGTCATGTGACTCGCTGACGCAACAATACCGATCGTAGTATTGATTGCCATGATGATTTGTTGAAACTGTTAAAATGACAGAGTATTTGAATTCCAACTGTATCAACTCATTTATTTCTGTTTCTTTTGAAACAAGATTAAAAGTTCATGAGAATAGTGTCCCTGATTTTGGCAAAATCTACCTTCGTAATCTGGAGAAATTTGAGAAGGTTTAATTGAAAAATGGCCTGGTGGTTAAGGCGTTCGCCCTGTCCAGGCTCGCCGACAGGGGAGGGGGCAACTGCCCAGGGGCTCGGGCGAATGAAACCTGGTTATGCCGTAAAGCATCTTTAGGCTATATCTTCATTTAATGATAAAAATCATAGTTTTTGGCTTTTCTTTGCATATAGACGCTTGATATATTAAAAACGACTGAAATAATAATTTGAGTAATAATTGATATGTATTTGTTACTTTATAGATTTGATAGATATTTGTTTTTACTTATACTGTGAGATAAAAATGGCTGCTGCTATGATTTAGTCTGTTTATGAGCTTGTTGCTTTGCTTGTTGAGGATCTTCTTTTTAATAAATTCTTGAAAATGGTAAAAAAGAGAGAGAGAGAAAGAGGCCCGGCGAGGATGTTTGCCCCGGGGCCCCTGCTGGCTCTTGACGTTCCTGGACCTGTCTGTAGTTAATCGGTTATTTTGTGAGGTAAAACAAGAGTTGCCCAATAGCTGGCGGCGTGTGCTGTTGACTAGATGTCCTTGTATATTTTTGTACGAAAATTCAGAAATGTCAGGTTTTGAAATTTGATCTTTTTATCGTTTGTAAATTCCACCACCAACTTCACCCAGACAGGTGATTTAGGTTCCTGAGAAGACATTAGTCTTGTTACTATTTTAACGCGTTTCTAAATTCTTAAGCTAGTTAATCCCACACACACACACACACACACACACACACACACACACACACAC